CTAGTTCTTATTTACTTTTGACGTGCATGAGAGTAACAAGCACTCTTGCTAGGCCACAACAGCAAAAGCAAGACAAATGTTAACATTAAGATTTACAGTGTAGTCATATAGGCATAACTGCTCACATTTTTGTTAGGAAATCAAGAGTGGTGCACGTTTAAAACATAGATACAGTGTAAAAAAAACAGTAAATAAAATAACATCAGGCTTAATCATGTAGTTAGTACCATATAGCTTGACAGGATTAGGCTGCACAGTGTTTTATAACAGGAAGATGTGATTAAATGTGAGAAACAAGAAAGATCATTATTTTGCTTATACGTCATGGATTTGGCCCACATGGAGGCGTAATGAAGGAAAAACAATTAATATATAGTTGTATGCTGGATAAGTTAAGATAAGATAGAATAACTAAAAATGATAGTTATAGCCTACACACGGGGTGGGAACTCTTTGGTGTAGGTAGATAAGAAAATAATGTATAGGCTGGATATTGAGTGGGGTTCAGAATCGCTTAAATTGATATTGGAGCGGTATCGTCGCTTGGGTGGTATTTTAGGCCTTATTAATTTTACGCCCCTGGGTTTAGCTGAAGTGACTTAGGGATCGTCTAAAGGTGCAGAGGTACAGAGGCAGGGGTGGGGGGGAGGTTGGGTGAGCTTAAGTGTCGGGCTGTTATTACCCTCAGCGGTGATGAAAAGGTTTTGTTAGGTGTCAAAATCATGACAAACATAGTAAACATATGCAATTTGGGGGACCTGCCTGACAACCCAGTCAGAAAGTCCAGAGAATTTAATTTGCTAGCACTATATTTAACCCTTTAACTTTCCAAGACATCCTAAAACCTGTACATGAGGGGTACTGTTGTACTTGGTAGACTTCGCTGAACACAAATATTAGTGTTTCAAAAAAGTAAAACATATCACAGCGATGATATTGTCAGTGAAATTTATGTTTTTTGCATTTTTCACAGACAAACGGCACATTCATTGTTGTATTACGTTTTACTGTTTTGAAACACTAATATTTGTTTTCAGCCAAGTCTTCCTAGTATAACAGTACACACCACATACAGGTTTTACAGTGTTTTTAAAAGTTACACCGTCAAATATAAGGTTGTTTTTTTTCACATTGAAATTTGCCTGATTGTTTATGCTGCCATTGAGAGCGTATGGTAGCCCAGGAATGAGAATTACCCCTATGATGGCATACCATTTGCAAAAAGCAGAATGGACGAACAAATGAAAGGCTCATGGAAGAATTTTGTTGGATGCCCATTCGTTTGTTCATTTATTTGTTTCTCTAGCCATTCGTTATTTGGTATTTGTAATGAATGAAAGAATTAATATATTGCCTTCGATTACTAGTTCAGCTTTTTGAATTACACAGACAGTAATTCATTACTTCTGTTCACTCCCATCAAATCTGATGGGATTGAGCCAAACTAACAAATGCGTACAAATGAATGTGCCTTTCATTCATTCGTATCACTAGTTTGGCTTTTTGAATTACAGACAGGCGGTGTAATATCTGTAAAATATATGTGTGTGTAATACGTATTATAATAATAGAAGTGAGCCGAACAACGATCGTGCACTGAACGAACAAATAATTTGTGAATTTGTATCAACTGTGCTTTTTCAATGCATTGCTTTAGCATATGGGAATGGTAGAAACAAATGAATGAATGAACTTATTTGCCTCAATTTGTGTATTCGTTCATTCGGATGCCTTGTATGGGAGTGATCTGATTTTCATTCATCCATTAAGCTCACTCCTGTGACATGATGCTGTATGGGCTTTACCAATGGAATGTGTTGTATCTTAGATGGGTTTGGGAGTGAGCTGATTTTCATTTGTCCAATCAGCTCACTCCTATGACATGATGCTATCCAATGGTATGTGTTGCATCGTAGATGGTGTAACAAACCACCTCTTTCACAGGTAGGATTTTGTCACAGATCTTATGGTAACCCCAGCCTTCTAGGGTAATCAAAGTTCAGGACACATTCAGCTCAGTTTTTCTTATTTATTTGGTGCACAATATACAGGTGCTGCAAAATAAAATAAACAAAACAAAATTCCTTGCTCTTGTTTGAGCACTTACTAAACAGAGTAATTACTATCTGGAATTTGGTAGCTTTCCCACTTACCAATTGACAATAACAAGATATAGCTGCAAAACACACCATTCCTCTGGCTCATTCTCCCTCATTCTGCATCCCTTCTTTTAAAAGCCTGCCTGCTAATTGACCAGCTACAGGTGAGTATCAATTAGTTCACATACAAGTCCTGGTCTGGCTGTTATATAGCAACTGGTGCTATTGGAGCACTGGCCCACCCTGCTCTCCAAATGCTCCACCCCAGGGACCCTTACCAAGGTTTGTAGAGTACCAACAATGTATCTTGCAAACCTAAAATCTCTCCCTGGGGTATTTAATTGAGAAACCTCAGGCTGCCGTTTAGTAAACCAGGCCTAATGTATCTTCCCTCAACAACCATTCCACATTTTCTCTCACAATAGGTTTGGGAGTCAGCTGGTTTTCATTTTGCTAATCAGCTCACTCATGTGACATGATGCTGTAGGAGCTTATCCAATGGTGAGTGCTTTAGTGGGGATTTAAAAATAAGATGGGTGTCTTCCTTGAACACTAAGAGGTTGTTCAAGGTGACCCTCTACATCCTGATGTAGGAACTCTGGTCAGGAGGCTGAATGATCAGCTTAATGCTTGCCTACGTGAGCAAAGTGATAATTCTCCTGAACTGATGCTAGCTTGCTTGTGTGACCCAAGGATTAAGGGAAAGCTTGAACTCAGATGCAATAGCCTAACAACTTGGAGGGAGAAATTGATCCAGAGGATGTGTGACTGGCAGCAAAAGAGGGGAATGCTGTCTGATGGAGTAGTTCAGCAGGAGGCTGAGATGTCTGCTACTTCTAGCAGAAGCGTGGGCAGTGGCACTACACCACCACACAGCTGCATTTTGGGAA